AACCTATGAATTTAAAAACGGGAACAATCCTGTTAATTCAGTCAGGACTCTTCCACCTCAGCAGTGCTGGCATTTTGAACTGGGTAACTCTGGCTGTCAGGTTCCCTCAAATGTTCTCTATCTACCAGGTGCCAGTAGGACCCAGCCCTCCCTCCTACTCAATTTAACGCATTTGATCTGCCCCTCATTGATTAATTCCATTCGCATGCGCACCTATGCCTTAAGTGTCTTTCTTGTGGACTAGGTCATTCGCCAGGCATCAGGGAGAAAGCCATAAACCAGAACAGATACTAGCCATGCCCGCTTCACGTGACCTACCTTCATGGGGAAGATGGAGGGGATAAAAAGCTTGCATAAGCAAATGTAAATATGCAAATGTTGCTGTTTAAAATAAGAGCTATATACTCAAAGAAAATGTATCAGGATACGTGCTCAACATTTCTTGTTAAAAGATGTGCACATTAAAAAGAGTGATGTGCACAATCAAAAAGCTTGGGGTTTACAACCCCTTTTATCCAAGCTTTGTTTCTCGTTCTATTTTACCTGCTTAAACTGAAAGGCCTGCTTTTAACCTTGGCTTATAATATCTGCTTTTAAAGACATTCATAATTAAAAAAAAGAGAGAGAGATTATCCCCTAATAGGGAAATCTACATAGTAGTAGTGCATGATTTCTATAAGCATCTCTCAATCTCCAACTAAAATCAGCAAAATCTAAGCTAGTAAAATGTCACCCCCTTCCTAATCAAAAGTATTAAGTTGTTTTGTTTTGTTTTTAAGAGGTTTTTGCCTTAGGGCATGTGCACTTGCCAGAGAAAGAAACAGTAAGAGGAAAAGTGAGACATCCCCCCCCCACACACACACACACACAGGGGGCATAGCCACACCAGTCCCTTCTCCTCCATCCTCCTCCCAGGATCTTGGGCACGCACGCACATGCGCCTGACATGGTTTTAGAGGCACAAGGTCCAGGACTCAAACCACAGTTGGCCATATGGGAGTCCAGTGACTTAACCGCCATGTAAACTGCTGCCTCTGAAAGTATTGAGTTTTTAACGAATGGATTTAACAGTGACCAAAATTCTTTTCTTTCTTTCTTTCTTTCTTTTTTTTTGGAGAGGTTTTCGCTATAGGGCGCGTGTGCTCACCAGACAGAGAGAGACATAGAGACAGAAAGCGAGAAATCACCCCCCAGGGGGGATGGTCATGCCACAATCCCTTCTCCTCCATTCTCCTCTCGGGATCTTGGGCACGCAAGCACGCACACGTGCCCGGGGTGAGTTTAAGCCACCGGGTCTGGGACGCGAACCGTGGTCGACTACGTGGGAGTCCAGTGACAAAGCCATTACGCTAACTGCTGGTTCCCAAACATACCAAAATTCTTTAGACTATTTTAAACAAATCAAGAAATTACGCATCCAAGTCCTTAACCACCAAACCACCTGCTGGTCCCCCAAGTTTTTTAAAGACAACTATGAGGTTTCTGTTTTGTTTTGTTTTCATTTAACAAACTTTCAATGTTTCTGGCAATAAAATATCAACAGAAATCTTTCCAAACATCTGCTTTCCAAACATTCATCCTAAAACTTGTTTCTTAAAAAAGTCATTATTTATGTCATCCTTACCCTGGAGAAGCAGATTAAATGCTCATTTTCTTTGAAAATTAAGTGAGGTATCAGAATACAGTCAATCGCATGTTATCATAACAAAGGTCAATAAATATAGAACTTTCAGTAAGATAAAAATGTGTCCTAAGTTCAGGACCAGCCAGGTGGTGTTTTGTTTGTTTTGGTTTGGTTTTGGGTTTTAAGTTTAATAAAAACAAACAAACAAACAAACAAAAAAAACTGATGTCATCAATCACTGTAAATCATTACGGCATGCACAATTAATTTTCCCAGCATGAATACACTGAATATCAGTCCAGTTAAAGATATTATGATATACATTATCAGCTGGTGTGGTCTTGAAGGCAGCTGGATCCCACATATCTGACTGCATGATTTAAGTCTTGGACCTGGCAGCTTTTTTTTTTTTTAAGAGTTTGGGGTTTTTTTGAAAATTTTGTTTTTCACAGAAAGTGAAAAATCACCCCCCAGGGGGGATGGTCATGCCACAATCCCTTCTCCTCCATTCTTCTCTCGGGATCTTGGGCACGCACGCACATGCACCCAGCGTGAGTTTAAGCCAGTAGGTCCAAGACTCGAACCGCAGTCGACTACATGGGAGTCCAGCAACATAGCCATTATGCTAACTTCTGGTCCCCCGGCACAAGTTTAAGCCACTGGGTCCGGAACTTGAACTGCAACTGACTACGTAGGAGTCCAGCAACATAGCCATTAGGCCAACTGCTGGGCCAGAACCTGATAACTTTAAAAACACGAAGGGATGTGTACACGCATGCCCAATAATCTGGTACTTCCACGTTAATTTGTCCCTGGAGAACCTTTGGTGATATCAAAGACGTTTACTTGCCCCTGCCCACCTGCCCAATTATTTATCGATAAATATAAAACATCCACTCTATTATAAAGACTTGCTTTCTCACTTTCCCTTTTTCTTTCTTGGTCAAATTTAAAAATTAAAAATAATAACAAATAAAATTAAATAAGTAATTCTTTTAAAGTTTAAGGGAAGAGAGAGAGAGAGCTCTCACTCATCTACCATAGTCTCTTTCTATTTTTAAGAATTATTTAACTTCATTTATTTATTCATTTTAATTTGACCAGAGAGGGACAGAGAGAGCGAGAGAGAGAGAGAGAGAAAGAAAAGGAGGGGGGGAGGGAGGGAGGGAGGGAGGGGAAGTGAGAAAGCAAGCTGCCAGGTCCTGGACTTGACCAACAGCTGGTCATGTGGGAGTTTAGCAACCTTAATCAGCACACCACCTGCTGGCCCATGATCTACTACAGGGTTTGTTTTTTTTTTTTTTTTTTTTGGGGGAGTTTTTGCTTTATGGGTTGTGTCTTTGCCAGAGAGAGAAAGAGAGACAGAAAGTGAGAAATCACCCTAAGGGGGGATGGCCACGCCGCAATCCCTTTTCCTCCATTCTCCTCTTGGGAACTTGGGCACGCACCCACACGCACCCAGCATGAGTTTAAGCCACCAGGTCCGGGACTTGAACTATGGTTGACTATATGGGAGTCCGGTGATGTAGCCATTACATCATCTGCTGGTCCCTTTTAGCGCTATTTTTTTTTTTCCTACCATAGTCTTCATCTGGCCACCAAAATATGCTTGGATTAGGAAATATATTATCATGCGTTACATTGTTCAAAACTTGCTAATATACATGCACTTAAATGTGATATCAAATGTCCAAGTGCTCCAACCTGACTACTCCTCTGTAACATGTGGCTCTGTTCTGTTTGAGGACAGCCTTGCTGTGGCAGTCCTCCTGCCCTGGCCTCCCAGCTGGGACAGCAGGCACCACCACACCAGCTCTTTTTCAGACAAGATCTCGCTGTGTTATCTAGGCCAGCCTCAAGCTCATGGTTCTCCTGCCTCAGGTTCTTTTTTTTTTTTTTTTTTTTTTTTTTGGGGGGGTTTCACTCGCCACACAGACAGAGAGAGACATAGAGACAGAACGCGAGAAATCACCGCCCAGGGGGGATGGCCACGCTGCAGTCCCTTCTCCTCCATTCTCCTCTCGGGATCTTGGGCACGCACGCACACGCGCCCAGCGTGAGTTTTAAGCCACCGGGTCCAGGAAGCGAACCGTGGTCGACTACGTGGGAGTCCAGCAACATAGCCATTACGCTAACTGCTGGTTCCCGTGCCTCAGGTTCTTCAAGTCCCAGAGATGACAGGCACACGCCACAATGCTGGCTCTAGAGGGGACTAGGAATCAAATCTAGTCACCACCCCCAGGGGGTCCCAATCAGCAAGACAGTTTCTGAGCAGCACACACCATCACAGCTGGCTCTAACTTTTCTTGAGGGGACAGGTTCTCATCCATGTAAACCAGTCATTAGCCATCTCAGTGAAGGTACTGCCACACGCCTGAATAAATACGTGACTCAGGTTACCCGAGTCAGCCATACTTCTGAAAGCTTTACCTATGTCCTCTACCAAAGCTCACGTGGCTTTTGTGGTCAAAATTTCTAGTTTTAATATTTCTTTGGAAGGGCTGTCTCACTTCTTCCAAACAGACTTGTCAAAAAAACTTATAGGATTTTCAGATAGCAGGGAAATACAGAGTATGCTGCCTTTATAGATGAAAGGTAATTATTACATTTATATTTATGATCATTTCAAAATTACATGAAAGCTCTGAAAAATGGCAGACTGTATGTGTATTATTACAGTATAATGCCAAAAAGATGGACTGAACTGCCACCCTGACTAGAAAAAAATATTATTAATCAATGTTTAAAATATCTGACAGAGTCTGCATTGTGGACTGCAAACCTGTCAAATCTTGTCTCTCTTATTTAAAATCTCAAATAGTTTTGCCTTAAAGAATAACCACATGGATGTAGAAGTATATATAGTATTTCTCTCCCACTCTTTCTCTTTTTTTGGCTAGACAGTGCATGCTCTCATGAGAGAGAAGGGGAGAAAGGGAAACACTCTTCCCCATGAGGAATGGTCATGCCACAATCCTTGTCTTCCACCTCTCCATCTTCTTGGGGTTTTTGACATACACACACATGTGCCTGGCATGTTTCCCAAGTTACCGGATCTGGCACTCAAACTGTGTCGTAAGTCACATGGATCTGCTGCCTTAACCACTAGGCCATGGAGCAGGCCATATAGGACTTCTCATTTCTAAAAATTTTAATTCCTGATTTAAATGTAAAACATATTTTAAGCTTTCAGTTTACTAACTTAACCTACTATATTCTAGTGGTCTGCACAAATTACTCTTGAATTGATTAGTAATCTCCTGTTTTGAGGGTTTTTATACTACAGTCATCATTCACAGAACAACTCTTGCAAGTGAGCCTGTAGGTTGACTAAAACAAACATTTACGACTATGGACTATTTGTTTTTCTACTTACTCCTGTGCTCCCTGAGACAACAGCTCTGTCCACACTCACTAATACCGCTTCTTCCAGCTGGCATTCTCCCAGAGACCACTCTACACAACGGCGATGAGCCCAACAAGTGCCTAAGATTGGAGAAGTGGAAAAGAGAAAACGAATGAGCTTTAAAAGCATGAATACTAATAGATGGACATAAAACTCCACAAGCAACTCCTATATGTAAATTCACAATGGCATCCTAAATTTCCAAGACCATTAAAGCAGCCCTTCTCAAAATGTGTTCCAGTGCCTGAGCTGCCACGATCAATATCCATCCGGAAACTTGTTAGAAATACAGAATCTTAGATCACGACTGAGACTTACTGAATCAAAACTTTTGTTGGCTCAGCCTCAAGAAGGGTGCAAGCAGAAGGTTCCTGCCAAACAATGGCTGAGGCCACACGGGAGCCCAACCTGCACAGGCTGGGTGCAGTGGTCACTCCTGCAGTCCTAGCTGACTGGGAGCTGGGCCAGGAGGACTGCAACATGAGACTCTGTCATAAATGCACCCAACCCCACTTGTTCATCTTCTCATTAAAAGAAAACAAACAAAACGATACTCTTGTGGTGAGTCTCAGCAATCTGACTTTAACAAACCTTCCAGGTGACTGTGATGCACACACAAATTTGAGAATCACTGAAGTAGTGATTATTTCATCAAAAAACAGAATTAGTTTATAGTCGCTTTGATCAAATATCACTTATAGAGTAGTTTATTTGGTATTTTAATATAAAAAAGGACATTATTAATACTTTGTTGATAAAACAAGGTATGTATGAAAAATCAGCTACACACACACCTCTCCCATATCCCACAGCTCAGCTGGAAACTGCGTCAGCAACACTTACACATCACTCAATGTGCAGTTCAACTGGGGAGTGAGATTCACTTAAACCTCGACAGCAGCGTTTCAGGAGTCTGGGTCACTATACTGGTGTTTAACAGTATAACTCACATGGAATCTACTGTCCTTTACCCACACCAGTAGGTAGACTCAAAATGTCACGTCCCCCCGAATCTCACATATCCATTTAAAACTGTCTTTTTCTCAGCTGACAGGTCTCCATGGCACTGCTATCTACATGAGAGTAAATACAATTTTTATAAATGCATTCAATCCAATGTTGGCACTGTGCAGAATAATTTATTTACTTATTAAATAAATTAGAAAAACACAAGTTAGATCATTATTTTTACCTAACCAAGTATATTTAATAATCACATTTTTTATTATATGATTCTCATTATGCCTAGATGAAAGGTATTCACTATTGATTAAACTGTTAAAGTCCTAAAATAAAAATGCTTCCAGAATAAAGAGAATCGAGAAGTAGTTACCCTTGAAGACAGGTGCATACCTGTAGGATCGAACAAGGCCTGGACATCAATGGCGTCAGGAAGGCCCACCAGGCTGAGCTCGTCCCATAATTTACCAGCCTGGTCATCGGAGGCTGTCTGGGTGCTTACACTTACACAAGATACTAGGTTCTGCTGAAGAGGTCGTTCTCTGAAAATAAAATAAGGTAGCTGTGAAAGTGATAACAAGTAGAAAACTGTTTTGTTTTATAATAATTTAAGTATAATGTACTGACAAATCAGTTGTAATCTATTATGTATTAACTGTCATAAAACAACATTTATAATTCATCTGTTATTATTAGCCATAATATAACATTAAAGTGGGTTGCTCTGCTATATCATGTAAGAAACAACTAAGAAAAAGTTCTCAAAGCCACGAGGAAGCATTAATGTCACACTTGTACAAATACATTCTATAATACTTGGGGTTTTTTCCCCCCAAAAAACTGACTCATATATTCTAGTCAGAAACCATATTTCAATAAGTAAAATGAATATTCCTTTTGCCTTTAAGTAATTAAATGTTTACAAAACATTACTTGATCAAATCAGAAAATTTTAAATGACTTTATCTTAACTGAGAACTGCCATAACAGAAGTGGCAGTTAATTTTATGTTTTAAAAAAAAAGTTTATCTTCCAGAGAAAGTAAAAACCCACTACAAAGTATGAAAAGGGAGGTGGGGAAGTGGAACATGTCAACTGTAGCTTTCTTACAGCCTCTCAACAAACCCTGACAGCTGGTCTGTGGCACGACTATGAAAGTACTCTTAATCAAGACCGACCTCACTGATCAGAGGTAAAAGGCAAGAAGCAAAGTAGCTACTGAAAGCATAGGGGGACTAAGGAAGGCAGAACAACCCTAAAAGTACAGTATAAAACTAAGTCTTGAATAGGAGACAAAACATACAAGAGATTTGACTTCCAAGCCCTAACACTGTATGTATTCTTTAAGATATTAAGTAAGTAAAGACAACTACTGTGTTTAACATCAAATAGGGGCAGTCAGATGACTATCACTAAAGCTTAAACCTTCTCCTAATATCATAGTATGTAACCTGATCCGAACTCTGTGTTAAATCACTATTGAATATAGATCATAACTCACTGCACTTCTGTATGCTGGATATTTATCATGATTCCTATTAAGAGAAAATCAGCACAATGACCAGGGAACTAAACTTTTTTATACCTGGAATCATTGAAAGAAAAAAAGTATTAACATATTTCAGTAAGTACAATTAAATATCAAACCATATAAAAATAACCAGTAATTTTTATGTTCAGCATTAGAAATGCATAGACTTTTTTTTTAAGAAATGCATAGACTTTTTGAAAAGGTTCAGCATGCCATGCTAACTTTACATTCTCATTTTCTAAATGTCCAAAGTAAAATGAGAACAAATGCTTTTCTATAATCTCTATTCCTACAAATATATTCGTTAGTAATCATTGTTATTTTACTGAGACAAAAAAAAATAACAATTCATCTATAAATACTAAAGTACTCTTTTAACGTGTTTTGCACTAGTAACTTGATGGTGGAAGGGGTGTAAAAACCAATGGAATGGCTAACCAGTCCATTACCAATCAGCTCCTAGCTAGCAGCTCAATCAATTCCAACCTTCAGTTTTGAGACAGGTTTGTATTTATATACACCATCAGTAAGATGTCAGTGTCAAGCCTACGGATGACAGCAGCCTGGCTTGCAAAAGAGTATCAAGAGAAGTCAGGGGACCAGCTGTTAGCATAATGACTATGTTGCTGGACTCCCATGTAGTCGACCACGGTTTGAGTCTCGGACCCGGTGGCTTAAACTCACGCCGGGCGCATGTGCATTCGTGCCCAAGATCCCGAGAGGAGAAGGGAGGAAAAGGGATTGTGGCATGGCCACGCCCCCGGGGGGGTGATTTCTCACTTTCTATCTCTCTTACGAGTACATTTGCCCTGTAGCAAAAAATCTCTCCAAAAAAAAAAATAAGCTAGCTGAAATAATTACCCACAAAATATTGATTTATAAAACAAAAGGAACAAAGAAAACAACCCTTGATTATATATATATATTTAGTGAAAACAAGGAAAAAACATAAAAATCATTTGTCAAATTAAAAAAAAATTAACAGGTTGTTTATACTTCATTAATAACATATATTTTGTAAATATGTAAAACCATTATCAAGCTAAATTAATTGCCTACTCTTAATTTATTGGCAAATTTTCTAAGTACTTCATTAACTGGCTTGTTACCATTACTTAATTATTCTATAAGCACTAAGTATATGTAAAGGATTTCATTAACTAAGGCTATTTTTATATGATTATCTGAACACATAAAAGATTCCACTGAAAATTAACTTTGCCTATAAAGTAAGTAAATGAAATGCACTTTTACTTCCCAGAACAGGATTTTATAAAATTGTCATTATTAGAGTCAAAACATAAAGGTATAAGATACAGCCTGGTCCAAGCCATAAAATGTGCTCATTGCTGGTGGGCACTGTACGTTTGCTGGACTCCTAATGCATCTTATTGAGGCGTGTGCTGTACTGGATTGGTAACAAAATAAAAGGCCCTCATGTATGACCCTGGCTATGGACCTGAAACATTTAGACTCTCCAAATACAGTAATCCTAAGCTTCCTTAAACTGTTCTACCTTAAATTCTTTTAAAATATATTCTTTCTTGTTGTTGTTTTATTTACTATTTCAGGTCTTCAAGGCATTGGCAACAGTTCAAACTAAAGAGCCAATCAAATAAGTACAACATGACAATACTTTAATACTTAAATTTGGATATAAGCCAACTAAGCACTTAGAAGATTACATCATCACCCTTGAGGGGCAGAGCTTGGTTAGCCTCTCCAGCTAAATTAATTTTTACACTTTCTCATCAACTACAGAAACTTCTACTCCCCTAACCAGCAGTGCCAAGTCCACAAATCAAGATGTGCTTTAAACATAACTATAAGAAAAAAAGGAAAAAAAAAATATATAGAGAGAGAGAGAGGTTTTTGCTATAGGGCACATGCGCTTGCCAGAAAGACAAAAAGTGAGAAATCACCCCCCAGAGGGGATGGGCATGCTGCAATCCCTTCTCCTCCAGTCTCCTCTTGGGATCTTGGGCAAGCACGCACACGTGCCCAGCATAAGTTTAAGCCACCACGTCCGGGACTTGAACCGCAGTTAAACACATGGGAGTTCAGCAACATAGCCATTATGCCAACTGCTGGTCCCCAAAATATATTTTTTAAAAATTAGACAAAGAGTTTTAGGTAACTACAATGTGCTCATGAATACAGATAAATAGATATTTATGTAGATATAAATAGAGGAAATCCTTGTTTTACTTTTCTTGAAAAAGCATCTTCTTTAACTATAGAGAGAACATTCTCAGTATTTAATGTGAGAAAGAGAGAGTAAGAGAACGAAATATGAAAATGTATAGGGCAACTGCACGTTCCCTGAGATACACACACACACACAAACCTAATAAATGACACAATGACTGAAAAATGACAGTAAGGACAAGAACAGTGAAAAATGTATAGGGCAACTGCACGTTCCCTGAGACACACACACACACACACCTAATAAATGACACAATGACTGAAAAATGGCAGTAAGGACAAGAACAGTGAGAACAGTTCAGGTTTGGCTCATGTGGAATGCCACCTTCTTACAGACAATTAAGAAGTTATTTAGCGAAAGGAAAAAAGGACTTAGTTTATCTATTTAGTCTTCTTTTTATTCATAAATTCCATGAACTCTCTCTCTCAGCTTATGTTAGGTTCTTTAAAGATTTCTTTGAAACACAAGCTTTTGTGATCATACCTATTTTGTTGGTACACGATTAAGAAAAAAAACTTCTCTACAATAAGAAAAATTTGAGAGAAAAGCTGCTTGCTGAGTTAATGGTGAGTCAAGGTACCCCAGGAACGGGGAAAATGTGAGAAACTATACTAAGGAATAACCCACCTGCGAATTTACAAACATGAAAATGAAAATAAATTATATATTGCATTATTTCATTCCAACAATTTAAATTCAAAACTGCTTACTTTCTCTGTCCTCTTAGTTTCCGTGAAGCTAAGTTTTGTATTTTTTCACAGGTTCCATTGCTGTTGTCATCAATGTCCCTCTTGCTGGAAGGTTGGTTTTTCCATGGCAAGATAAATCCAGGTGTCACTCGGAATTGTTTTAAGTCTCCTTGTCCTAAGGAACTTTTTTCCCCACAGTAACAAAAAGCACAGAGTTGTTCACTGGTAAAAATGAAAATCGAGGAAGATAGAAAAGAAGAAAAGCAGATTTATTCAACTACTTTAAGTGACAACTACAAATAATTTTATTTTACATTATGTCCTTAGTCCAAGTTTAGCTTTTCAACATATTTTCTATAGTCTACTCAGTGAGCATACCACAAGGACAAGTAAGTTTAATGACAATTACACTTTGCAATTCTATTTTTCCACAGCATGATTGTTCTAAATAGTAAACGTACCAAGCCAAATAATTACAGTTTATAGTTAGAAAAAAGATTTTCTTACAATCTACCATGCAGTAGACTGAGTTAACATTGTGTTGGCTGTCATGGCAAACTGGAAGAAATTAGGGACTGAGATATTTAAGCACATACTTAAAGAAATTCATTTCACTAAAGAAACGAATTCCATAATCAAAACAAAACAAAACAAGGCTTCTTTTGACTAAAGCGGGGCAGCAGGTGGCACAGGAGTCAAAGTACTGGATCCCACATGGCCAACTCCACAGTTGGAGTCCCAAACCCAGAAACTTAAAAGGCACGTCCAGTGTGTACATGTATGACCAAAATCCTGAGAGGAAAATGCAGGAGAAGGACTGCTGCGTAGGAAGTGACTTTTCACTTTACCTTTCTCTCTGTCTCTCTCCAGTGATGTACGTACCCTATGGCAAAAAAAGGAAGAAAGAAAGGGGGGGGGGGATGAAAGGAAAGGAAAAAGAAAGTTTAATTAAAAAATAAATTTGGCTAGGGAAAATCCAAGTATTAAAAAGTATGAAGAAACTAAAGCTAAAGATATATGAAGAAGAGGACAGAATTTAACTGCCACCTAGTTGTGTCTGCTGTGTAAAATAGTTATATTTAATCACTTGATGAAACATCCTTTATGCAGGAGATAGCTATCAAACAGAAGTGTATACACATAGAGAGAAAAATTATAAATTTAAATGGTTGTTGGGTTAAGTAGTGGTTTGGGGGGTACAGAAAGGCTGAATAGCAGGGGCAGAGGGATGATATACATGGCACATAGGCACTGTTGAGGACGTGAAGCTGTTTTGTATAACACTATTCTTTTTAAGAGGTTTTTGCTTCAGGGCACGTGCACTCGCTCACTGCACTGGAGAGAGAGACATGCAGTGAGAGGGAGAGGGAGAGATCACACTCCCAGCCCCCGCAAGGGGGGTGGCCATGCTGCAATCCCTTCTCCTCCAGTCTCCTCCTGGGATCTTGGGCACACACACACATGCAGCCAATGTGAGCTTGAAGGTACCGGATCTGGGCCTCAAACTGTGGTTGGTCATGTGGGAGTCCAGTGATGTAACTGCTATATCATCTGCTGGCCCCATTTTGTATGATGCTACTAATAGAATGGCAGATTCATGATCCATTTGTCAAAACCCATAAAACTGCTTCAGGCTGCTTCACGGAAAGAATGAGTCCTAACACAGACTGTGGCCCTCAGTCCCAGCACTGCACTGCTACCGGCTTCCCCACTGGGTAAGAAATGCACCGTAGGCAGGCAGTGCCCCGGGGACCGTTGTACCGGGGACATGCGGGCAAGGGAGTTCTGCACTGTCTGCTCAAGTTTTCTGAAAACTCAAAACAACCTACAAATCAAAGTCTAAATATTCTCTGCACAACGTATTTCCTGCTGCTCTGGCAGTAGAACATCTCTGCTCAGGCATTAGTTTTGCCCTTGCCCTGTGGTATTTACCCATCAACTTCCGTAATAGGCTGCATCGAGAGATGACAGAAATAACTGAAAGCCTTTTGAGGTAACGTTTTTATACTTAAGTTTAATTCATGTTGGATTCTCTCAACTAATTATCTTTTGATTATGAAAATTACCTATTTAACTCTTCCACTAAATTACCTATTTCAATTATGTGACAAAACTGTATTGCTCAGTACTACTGAGACATACACATGAATATCAATTAAATGTCACCTAATTTCAGAAAAATGAAACCAAATACAAATTTTTTTTCTTCTTGCCTGAAGGATCCTACCAACAATATCCTTTGCTAGTATCTTCTTATACTCTCATTTATAATTTTTTCTGTGCTATTAAGCTTACTTTAAAAAAAAAGTTATTGCCATAGGGTACATGCGCTCACCAGAGAGGCAGAGACAGTGAGAGGGAAAGTGAGAAATCACTTGCCTGGGGGGGTGGTCATTCTGTAATCCCTCCTCTATTCTCCTGCTGGAATTTTGGGCATGCATACACATAAACATGCCTAGCATGAGTTTCAAGGCACCGGGTCCAAGACTCAAACCATGGTTGGCCATGTGAAAGTCCAGGGCCTAAACCACCACCCCACCTGCTGGCCCCACACTTTAAAGCATAAACCATTTCTGATTTGTTTCTTCTCCGTAAAAGGGAAAGAAGAGCAACCATCAGGTTAACATCAGCATGATCAGCAACATTAATTACAACACTGACGAGGGGATTGGGCTAAAGTACTGGAGAAAAAGTGCCTTCGCCTTCAACTTTATACTCAAATGTGAAGTGTAATAAAAGTCTTTTCCGGTTAACCAAGCCTCAGAAATTTTGCCACACATCAGACTCACAATAAAAATAATTTTAAATAAGTGTTCAAATTAAGGAGTTAAAAAGGCTGCCTGAAGAAAGGTGGTCAAACATCTCAAAATAATTTTTTATTGACTTGTAAAAGGGAGGCAAAGGAAATTCCTGGCTCCTGCTTTGCATGTTTAAAGCTAAAAAGAGGATCACACCCACCACACAACATAACCCTGTCAAGGAATCTTCAAATTCACTTTCTTTGAACCCACCAGAGGCAGAAACCGCAGGGCAGCAATTCAGTTACAATCAAATGCCTGACAGCTCCAAAAAGAGGTCAGACACAGGCACCTCTGGATGTCACAAAAGCAGAAGAGTTCAGTGAACATTTTTTACAGATTTCTAAACCTGAGTGTGAGACGATGAAAGGATAGAGGGTCCCTGTGCTGCACAGACACAAGAGGGTTCTCTCCACACCCCACCAGGTGCTCATGCACAGCCACGAAAGTAAAAGCAGGCGGACGGCAACTTAAAAGCGTTTTTAAAAGATGGCATACCAAATCTGATTATAATAACCATGCAATAAATGTAAGCAGGTAAAAGTCACCGGTTCTAAGACAATTTTGAGATTTGATTACAATTATGGACAAAAAATTTGAAAATAGACAAAAGAAGGGCCAAGTTATGGTTCTGTGGTAAAATGAGATGCTCTGTAAGCCTGACCCACACGGGAAGGTCCCGAGTTCACGTCCAAAGACCTGTCGGAACACACTGTCGGAACGCAGTATCATTTACTATTAGTAACTTAATCACTGTTAGTAATGAAGCTTGAGATATATATGCGGCTCTGAGTGTAACTGAGCGTTCACATTCACTTCAAGTGCACGGAACTATTCTGAAAGTAGGCTACACATTCAGCCATGAAGGAAGGCTCGGTACATCCCAGATGGCCAGGTGCTCCTCCGACAGTGATGCAGCGGCACTGGACATGTGTAACAAAAGGGTACTTAAAACTCTCTCAATGCTTGGAAACTAGAAAGCTCTGGATAAAATGGAAATCCTAGTATTTGAAACAAAATAATGAAAATACTGAATGTAAATATTTGTAGGGCAAGTTCATATAATAACTAAAAGGGAGGCTATAAATTGACATAAATTATCAGTCAACTTAAAAGTTTAAATGTAAATGAGCTAAAATTTCAACTAAAAAAGTTGGGGGAAAAAAGCAAATGAGGACATTGATAAAAAGATGATGACAAACAGTAAAAAGGAACTAAAATCCAACAATGTGTTTAGAAACATATCACAGTTGAGTAGTGTTCACTGTCAGGTTTTTTTCCTTCCACTGGTTTTGCTTCTCTTGCTGATGTGCAGAAAGTCTCTAGGCTTTGTCATCTTATTTTAAAGAATTATTTATTTTTTGGGACCAGCAGTTGGCGTAATGGCTATGTAGCTGGACTCCCACGTAGTCGACCGTAGTTTGAGTTCCAGACCCGGTAGCTTAAACTCACGCCGGGCACATGTGCATGTGTGCCCAAGATCCCGAGAGGAGAATGGAGGAGAAGGGATTGCAGTGTGGCCATCCCCCTGGGGGGTGATTTCTCACTTTGTTACTCTGCCTCTCTCTTGTCTTTCTAGCGAGCATACGCACCCTCTAGCAAAAACCTCTTCAAAAAAAACCAAGAATGATTTAATTTTCATTTATTACTATCATCATCGTTATTTTTAATTTGCTATAGAGCACGTGCACTCACCAGAGAAAGACAGGGAGAAAGAGAGAAAAGCAAGTCACTAGATCCAGGACCTGAACCACAGTCAGCCATGTATGAGTCTAGTAAGTTAACCACACCAACACTGGCTGGCCTCTGTTTTGTCATTTCTAAATACACATGGACACAAGTCCTTTGTCAATTATATGCCTCAAAAATATTTACCTTTGTGTCATTTATTCTTTCATTCTTGTCTTAATGGTTTTTTTAAAAAACACAAGTTTTTAGTTTTAATACAGTAGTATTAATCAATCCTTTCTCATAATTAGTGATTTTCATTTGTTTTAAAAAAATCCTGCCTTACCATAAAGTAATGAAGAAATTCTCCTACATTCAATTCTAAAAATTAGATTGGTTTGCCTCTCACATAGAAGTCTTTAAATTAACTGGAATTGATCCAAATGATGGGCCGCCTCCTCTTTTTAAAGGCATATGGATATCTAATGGTCACAACACAATTATTAAAAGAAACAGCCTTTCCTTCACTGACCTGGGATGTCACATTGTCCTAACCTGTCCATATTACTCAAGCATTCTTTTGTGTTCCGTATTCTATCCCACTGGTCCACTTTTCTGGCCATGTGGTCATACAACAATAAACTAATTTATTGGCAAGCTACAAAGTCTCAGCACTGGTAAGGCAACCCAACCCTCTCCTTCGTGAGTATCTGGGTTAATCCTACCATTGGAACATTCATATCGTATTTTTAAATCAGCTTGTCAAGTTCCTTATAGAATTTTTTATTAGGATTGTTTTAAATCTACAAATCAAATGGAAAAGAACGAATATTTTCACAATATAGAGATTCTTAAAATATATGAATATGGTTCTTCAATTATGTCAGTGGTCTTGAGCATACATCCAAAAATTTTTACAAATGCCTCCATAAAAGTTTTACTCACATTTTTGCACTTAGTCCTGGTTACCTGGTATTATTTAAGAGTATCATCAGAATTTTTTTTGAAGGTTTTTGCCATAGGATATGTGCACTCATCAGGAAGGAAAGGGGCAGAGAAAGGAGTGAGGGGAAAGTGAGAAATCACTCCACAGTGGGTATGGTCATGCTGCAATCCCTTCTCTGCTCTCCTGGAATTTGGGGTGCATGCACCCAGCATGAGCTTCAAGATGCCAGGTCCAGGACTAGAACCGTAATCGGCCATGTGAGAGTTCGGTGCAGTAATCACTACAACACCTGTTGGCTCCCGGAACATCATTTTAAAAAAAATAATGTTTACCTCTGTTCCTGATACATAGCTATCTAAGTGAATTCTGCACTTTGATTTTATATCTAACAATATTGCTAAAATCTTATTAACTATATTATTTGCTTATTCTTTTAGAACATTTTATGTACTGAATGACTAATTCATTAAATTCAACCTACTCACCCTATTTTAAGGTACTGGGGGTACAGGGAAAGAAAAATAAATAAATGCAAAAAGTAGCCGAGCCTGGATTAAAAGTCAGGTCTGTATCGATGGTAAACCGGCTTTTTTGGAAGGCACATCCTCTTTTTCCTAATGAAGATGATAGAACTGGTGGTAGTATAGTCTACATCAAATAAATAACATTGTTTATCAAGCCTGCTCAAAGCTATTTTTCTCTGAGGTGTGAGCATTCATCTAACTTTTAATATACAGCCAATTATCAAATGATCTATTCTTAGATTCCACCAGTGGGATAGGCCATTTATATTATTATGAATTAGATTCTTGTATATTCACAAAGAGCTTTTAACTTTCATTCTCTCCACAATTATTTGATGAGGACTAATTAAGAGTTAGCCCCAGCGTTAGTCACCAGTCACAGAGATCAGTCCGTCAGACAGTTTGTCCCGGGGATCTGCAGACCCACGCAAGGAGTCTGAGAACCACGGCGGGTTTCAGAAGTAGACATGGACACTCCCAGATGGCTCTCGGATGCCTGCTGTAAACCAGCAATATTCTGCTTTCTTTACTTCTCAATTCTACATCTGCACTACCATTTCTAATTTACATCAAGGATAAAACAGTAAACACTAAAGAAAAGACAAGTTTAAGGCCATATTATTCAAACTACAAGTAACGTTTTAGAACTTTTAAGTTACGATTAAGCAAATTTTTAAATTCTAATCAAACAATAGAATTTTAAATTAATTCCAGTTCTGAATTCCTAACTCTTATTTGTAACTTTAGCTCATTCTGTATTTGAAAAGACAACTGTGATGGACTCTAAGGAAAATATCAATTTTTAATTGGCACCTGTAGTTCAGCCCTAGAAATGTAAATGTGGGCTCATCGGGACATATACAAGATTTACAGCCATCAGTCAAATGAATTTCCTCAGAATAAAGAGAGAAAATAAGAGACAAGGCGCTGGCAGGTGGCATAATGGTTAGGGCCGACCTGGCAGCTTGCTTTCCTCACTTTTTCTCTTTCCTTCTCTCTCTCCCATCAAACTAAAAAGTGATAATGAATAAATAAAATTAAATAACAGAGAAGACATCTGAGGCCTTGGCCCTGAGTACTCCGGCATCACAATGGTGTAGTGTCCCCACAGAAACCAGCAAAAGACAGAGTCAGGAGAGAGTGTGCTAAAAGCAAGAGAGAGGAAACGCTGAAGAAGACAGGTGTGTCCCACTCACCAATGTCATCATATAATGGTTTCTCTTGTCTTTCAAGAAAGATCTAAAAATGCAATATTTCAAAGCTGAATTACACACTGATATGCTATGATCTCCTATACTTTTTTTAATGAATGGGGGAGAGAATAAGGAGCAAGAGTATAAACTTAAGTTTACAGATAAACATCACAAACATCCTAGATGGGTCCGGCAGGTGGTGTGGTGGTTAAGGGCACTGGACGCCCACATGGCCGACCGCAGTTTGAGTCCCGGGCCTGGTGGCTTGCTTTCTCACTTTTCACTCTCTCACACACTCGGTCCCTCTCTGGTCAAATTAAAATACATGAATAAAAATAAAGTTAAATAAAATAATTCTTAAAAACAAATTAATCCTAGGGCTAAGCACAGGGGACCACATCCCACATGGTCAACCATGTTGTAAGTCATGGCCCTGGCAGCTTAAAAACATACTGAAAATGTGTGCATACATGCACAAAATCCTGACAGGATGGAGAATTAGGAGATAGGAGGAGACTATAGCACGAGCCTGCCCCATGGTGGTAGAAGGAAACAGA